TTAATGTCGCTGGGCCGCCAGCCCAATAATATGTTACAAAATAATAAATAATTAAGAAGGAGGAGGGTTCGCAGAAGGAACGTCGTCGGAAGACGAACCGTTTTTGCGTTTGTCGGGATCGAGGCTCCTTTGGTAGATATCCCAATGCTTCTTCAGAAACCTGATGTGTTCTCGAAGACAGCCGGGAATGCGAGCGATAGAGTCAAATCCCCTCCTCTCCCAGTTGTGAACGTCCGACTCCAAACGTCGGATCTTCCTTTCGGTTCTAGCAATCCGGTCTTCGAGGTTACGACGTTTCTTTCCGAGGCGTTGCCTTTCGGAGCAGAGGAAAACATACCTTTCCGTGATCTGCAAAGAACAGATGCATTACAAATCTATCAAGTAAAACCTTGAAACAATTGGTACCGGGTTCAAACCTGCTCCATGAATTCATGGCACTCGATCTGTTCTTCCTTAGACATGGAAGAAAGAAAACAAGGAATACCAACCCCTTGTGGAGTGAATCCATCCCCCGTCGGGAAAAGAGATTCGCTTGAAGGGAATCGTGGTGGATTAGGATCAGAAGGTTCGCCTTGGAGAGAGGCCATCAAAAACAAGAAAAAGAGAACTGCAAAGTTCCTTGTGAAGAAAAGGTTTATTTGGAAATTCCCAAAATGTTACTCTCCTTATATAGGAAAAATATATAAGATTACTCACTTGAGTATTTATTGAAAAAGGAAGTTAAACGTCAATCTATTGATCTGACAGTTACGACCTTTCGATTTTCGTGTACATGCACAAACAAGACCTACAAAACATAGGTTATTCAAGTATCACTTAACACCTAGTAGGCGTACTGATTTTCGAACGTGAAATTCAACGGCAGTTAATAAATGGTATTAAACCTTTTTTGTCCTTTTCAAGAAAAGCAAACAGTTCTCACTAAGATTTTTCTAATCGAACACATTTCGAAGTATCACGAAGTGTTCTTGTAAGCCGAGCTCTAACCTCGCAACCGAGAGACCAAGGAAAAATTCTAATGTTTTTTCTTTAAAAAAGGCAAGTAGGTCTGATAAGCCTATCTCTCCTATAATTCTAAACCATTTCGGTTAGGATCGGAGGACTTTGCAAACCCTCCAGGTAAAATCGATGGTTTCTACCAAAATTAAATATTTATTTCTAAAGAAATTTTAATTAAGAACCCCCTTGGGCATATTATTCAAAACAGTAATAAAAGCCCCCTTGGGCAAAAATCTCAAAGAGTAACAAACGGCCCCATGGCAAACAAAGCTAGTTTTATGTCTTAAAATTGAAGAGACATTCCCCATAAAAGGTGAGTACAATCACCATCATTCATTCATAGGTGAACCGCCTCCATCTCCTACTTGGCTTGAGATAGGAGCACCCACGACGGCAGCGTCTTGAGTTGTGAGAAACAGCTCAGGGTTAAGCGAGCTAGCGTCCTGAGGAGTTTTGCTCCTCGATTTAAAGTCATCTTCCATAAGAGAAGAAATAGCAGGATCCTGACCAGAGAACTCCTGAGTTCGTTCCAAAGAAATTTTGTCAACATTGGTTCCGAACTCATTAAAATGAGCACTAGGGGAACCAGTTAACATCATCTCGTCCAAAGACAAACCGGTATTAGGTTCGGTCAGTGGAGGGGAATCAGCGAACTCAGAGGCAAATTGCTGCAAATCTAAATATGGCTGAGGAGCAGTAGCTAGCTTAGCTTCAGTTTCAGCGACCTCAGCGCCAACTGTCTCCTTTTCTTCAGTCAAGTTAATTTTTCCTTCTTCTATCTCCTTGATCAGATCGAGATTGCTCTTCATCTCATTACGTTCGGAGTTAAGTTTGTTCTAAGCTTTATCTGCAGAGATAAATTCTTGCACGGCAAGAAGGAACTTTTGCCCAGCTCCTTTAACCTCTTTCCGAGCATCATGAGATATCTTGCGAACATCCTGATCTTTCAGTTTGAAAAGAGACTCATTTTTTCGCTCGAACTCCTCAGCAACTGTTTTGACCTTGCTAAGCTCTGATTTCAGAAGCTCGATCTCGCCCTTTGCGAAGTTTTGGTCAGCAAGAGCAGTTTTTAGCTTTTGCTCTGTCTCAGCCAAATTCTTCCTCGTCTCCTCGCCAAATCTTTCGAGTTGCTCGATTTCTTTCTGACGAGCCGAGTCGAGACCAGTCGTCTCCTTCGCAAGTTGGTTGGAAGATTGGAGTTTCTCAATCTCTCCTTCGGTAATAACAGCTCTCTTGGAAACTTTGGTGAGCTCCTCTTCGTAATGGTTGATGATGCTGTTCACATACAGGGTTCCCTGATAAAATGAGATGCGATAAGAAAAGGGAGATTCAAAATCAAATATATACATATTTGAATAGTCAAACCTGAGAAGAGTGGAATGAATGACTGATATACATCTTCTTGACGTCATCCCTCCAGTGCCCAAAGGATGGAAGTTTCTTCCCAGAACGAGTGTTGAAACATCTAAAGATATTTCCAATCTTCTCTTTATCTAAAGTAAAGATATTCGAATGAATATAGAATTCCTTAAAAAAATCAGTTAAATCTCCAGTATCAAAAGGTTAATTGAGGATTACCTGATGGAGATGAAGCTCTAGCAACGAGTCCTGAGCTCGATCATCTCCGAGCTCTAGAGGTATTACCTCGAGGACGCCTGGGGGGTAGCATCCCTGAACTCAGCGGCTCTCTCAAAACAATTCCTGAATCAGGATTCCTACCCTGAATGTAAGCAGATTCAGGAATTGGAAGACTTGAAGAAATGGCTTCGGCTCTCCTCGTGCTCTTGGACCTTCCCTGAAGCGAGGGTTCAGGTCCCTCAGCCTTCCTCTTCTTCATAAAAGAGGAGCCATCTAAGGGACCTCCTTCTTCAGCAGTGGCGGCGACCATGATGCCTGCTGCTGGGGTAGAGGAAGGAGCATTGTTTATGGTGACCGCCATTGACTTTGAACCCTCAAGGGACCCGTCATCAACTAGGAGAGTTTTCCGGTAGACTGTCGTCCCCGACGGAGGATGCATTTTTCTTGTTTTTTCCTATCTGGGAGATCTGATCTTTGACTTTCTTGTCTGCTTCTCTGATCCTTCTCCTATCTCGGGCATTTAAACTCGAGAGATCAATCTCAGCAGGAGGAGGGTCGACGGGATGAGTAAGGCCCATTCTGACAGAATGTCCGATCCGGCACCGTGAATTCTCTCCAAAGTAAAAGAATTCCAAGTAACTGGCCGCTCAAGGACGGCCTTGTAAAAGTTGAGAAAGTCAACAGAGGGAACTTGCCGAATTTGGGAACCTGCGGAAAAACGAGAAAGTGTTAACGCAGTTTGAAATAGCTTGAGAAGCTTATTTATTTAAGTCCTAGTTTCTACCCAAATTCGATGACCAGTGAGTTTAGAGGAGTTCGAAAGAACTCTGAACGGAAAAACTATTTATACGGAAGAAGAACCAAAACTTCTTCCAGGCGTTGTCTTTTCAAGGCAGGCCATCAATAAGGTTCCGATCTTCCATCGGATAAAGGGCATAATACCCAGAAGTTTGGGATTCGCGAGCCTGGAATAATTCTAAGAGCTCGCTAAGGCCCAACGTGTAGCCTGCCTGCGCTGCAACAGTGAAGGTACACATAAGATACCGGAGCATGTTGGGCGACATCTGAGAGAAGGCAATTCCCAGATGGTTGAGGTAGGTAAGAAGTATCTCAGGAAGGGGAAGGAACAAGCCGCACCCTTTGAAATAAATTTCATAGGCGCAGCAATACCCCTCTCGCCCCGACTCTGGAGACTCGTAAGGCTCCGGGACCACCATCTCCACTTCGGGGGCAATGTGGCATAAACGACGTAGATCGTTAAGAGAATCAACGGTCGATTGACTCTGAAGGTGAAGATCAAACTCGCCTCCAGTTTGGGTATGAGGTTCGGTTCCCTCACCCATGAGAGCTTCGAGATCATCAGCCTCATATTCGCGAAATTCAGAAGGGAGGTTCGACATTTTACGAAAGGGGTTTTTACCGAAAGAAAACAACGACCTCTGTAATGAGAATGAAAGTTTTCTAGGTAAAGAAGATAAGAAGGAAAAGTAATATTACCTCTTAGAACCCTAAAGTATGATGGAAGACCGCCTCGAGAATATTAGGAAGTGGGACGGTTTTCCCCGCGGTATTAATTAAGAAATTAATGATGACTGTTGTCAGGGGTATCAAATCACTTGATTATCCGAGATCGGCATAACAGCATAAAACATGGAGTAATTCCAGAGTGTTAAAGATCTCAATTCATTAATTACTGTTTACTTAAATCTTCCAAGCCGAGCACTCAACTCGCAAGACTTGGGGGGCTAAATGTTGGGGTCGGATCCCACACATTTTCGGTAGGATCCACTTGGATCTGTCCATGTCATTATTACATAATAATCCTCTTGGAACTAAAGACATTTTATTATAAGAATCGAGCTTAACCAGACAGGAGTTCGGTTCAGTCTAGTAGAAGAGCTCGATCCTTGCTAGTATGGAGGTCGCTCTTATTCGACAGACAGTTCGCATAGAGAAAGGCCGAAGCGAGGAGAATATTGTTCGAGTCTCACGGTAGCGTCAAAAAGCGGGAGTTCGGAGTCAGCAAGAAATAGTTTGGAAGATCCATGCGAAGCCCAAGATAGTTCAAATTCAAGCCGTTTCGGTCAAATTGTAACCTACATGATTAATGCGGATCAATACGATTATGAGTAGTAAATGACCGCATTGATCATGTTTTCTCTATAAAAACAACCTCAAACGCATGTGTTTGAAAGGACGAATCTTTTTACTCATTACTTCTAAGCAATACAATATACTTTCTTTCTTTATTACTTTCGCAAGGCATTTTGTACTTCGTCCTTGTCAAAGTTCTTTACTTATTTTCTTGGTTATTTTCCCTTTCGAATTTTCATATTCATTTTCTGATTTTATAAGAGTTTTTCTCCACTGAAATACTTAAAGACAATCGAGTGTGAATCCTACATCCACAAAGAGCTTTTCCCAAAGAATATCAAAACCTTACGCTTTCGGAGTTTATAGCATTACAAGAGCTTTCGGACGATCACATGTACGGACCAACACTTGGTACGTATGGGCTGACCTGCGGTGCATACCGCACTCACCCTCACTCGCCCGAAGCAGCCACCATTGGAGACTTTGAGCTGATCGGACCGTCCCGCAGAAGCCACCGCTGGACCAGCCACGAAGCCCGTGACCGGGGTGCCCCTTCTGCTCAGACCGGTCACGACCCTCACCAACCGGTCTGGCCCCTGCCCGACCTTTACACGTCTTCCACCACGCCATTCGATCCTCTGGAGATCAAATCATTGGGAAACACCATTTACCACGTCATGGAGCTGCAAACCATGATGGACTCAAGATGCTACCATCGGGGGTGCTCTTGTCTCAAGCCAAGTAAGAGATGGAGGCGGTTCGCCTATGAATGAATGATGGTGATTGCACTCACCTCTTATGGGGATTGTCCCTTTAATTTTAAGACATGAAATTCGCTTTGTTGGCCATGGGGCCGTTTATTAATCTACGAGTTTTTTGCCCAAGGGGGATTTTATTACTATTTTTGAATAATTTGCCCAAGAGGGTTTTTTAATTAAAATTTCTTTAGAAAGAAAATATTTAATCTTGGTGGAAACCAACGATTTTACCTGGAGGGTTTGCAAAGTCCTCCTAACCGAAATGGTTTAGAATTATAGGAAAGATAGGCTGATCAGACCTACTTGCCATTTTTAAAGGAAAAACATTAGAATTTTTCCTCGGTCTCTCGGTTTCGAGGTTAGAGCTCGGCTTACAAGAACACTTCGCGATACTTCAGGTGTGTTCGATTAGAAAAATCTCTAGTGAGAACTGTTTGCTTTACTTAAAAAGACAAAAAGGTATGATACCATTTATTGACTGTCCTTGAATTTCACGTTCGAAAGTCAGTTCGCCTACTAGGTGTTAAGTGATACTTGAATAACCTATGTTCCTTAGGTCTTGTTTGTGCATGCACACGAAAATCGAAAGGTCGTAACTGTCAGATCAATAGATTGACGTTTAACTTTCTTTTTCAATAAATACTCAAGTGAGTAATCTTATATATTTTTCCTATATAAGGAGAGTAAGATTTTGGAAATTTCCCAATAAACCTTTTCTTCACAAGGAGCTTTTCAGTTCTCCTTTTCTGAATTTCTTGTTTTTGATGGCCTCTCCCCGAGACGAACCTTCTGATCCTAACCCACTACGATTCCCTTCGAGCGAATCCCTTTTTCCGACGGGGGATGGATTCACTCCACAAGAGGTGGCTATTCCTTGTTTTCTTTCTTCCATGTCTAAGGAAGAACAGATCGAGTGCCATGAATTCATGGAGCAGGTTTGAACCCGGTACCAATTGTTTCAAGGTTTTACTTGATAGATTTGTAATGCATCTGTTTTTTGCAGATCACCGAAAGGTACGTTTTCTTCTGCTCCGAAAGGCAACGCCTCGGAAGGAAACGCCGTAACCTCGAGGACATGATTGCTAGAACCGAAAGGAAGATCCGACGTTTGGAGTCGGATGTTCACCACTGGGAGAGGAGGGGATTTGACTCTATCGCTCGCATTCCCGGCTGTCTTCGAGAACACATCAGGTTTCTGAAGAAGCATTGGGATATATACCAAAGGAGCCTCGAACCCGACGAACGCGAAAACGGTTCATCACCCGACGAAGTTCATTCTGCGTACCCTCCTCCTTCTTAGTTATTTATTATTTTGTAACATACTATTGGGCTAGCGGCCCAGCGACATTAATTATATTTTCCCTTTTGTTTTAAATTTGTCAATTTATTTCAACATTGTTTAATGCGATGATTTAGGGAATATAATTTGCAATTAATTCGATTGCATTTTCCATAAATGTAGTAATTTCATATTTTGGGAAATCGTCAATTTACTCTCTTAAATGTGATTGAGTATATTTCGAGTATAAAGTAGGTGTAGTTCATTACTGAATTTAATCAACAATAGTTCTACAAAAGCCCTCGCGAGCTTCATCGCCTCGAAGCCCATCCTTCTGATTGGATCGAGATAGGCCTCCAGGAGTACGGGACCATGGCAAGTTGCATTCTGAGCATCGTTGACCTCGCAGGCCAAGGAGCAAAGCTATTCCGTAATCCAAGACCCTTCTAGATCTGGTTTTAGCTAAAAATATTTCTTTATACCTTGTTCGCAACGTATTTTTATATTTATGCTCGAAGATCGATTTTGTAAAACGAGACTCCATGATTGGAATAATATATATATATTTTTAATTATAGGGACTCGTGTTTAGCGAGCTACCTACGTACCCAAAATAGGATCAAACCAAATCGTAGTTCAAATATGTTTGATTTAGCAATAGAACTTTTTCAAGTTGATGATGTTCCAAGGCCTTTGAACGGGATTTCCGTCAAGGTCTTGGTATACACCATTTCGGATTTTTTCTGTGATTTGATAAGGGCCTTCCTAGTTAATACCGAGTTTTCCAGCTCCTTTTTTTTTGGGTTATCGAACACTCGCCTTAAAACAAAGTCTCCTATATTTAAAGGTCTGTTTTTTAACTTTGAGTTATAGTATCGAGCGGTCAACTGTTGATAGTTCTGATGTCGAATAAGGGATTGGTCTCGCCTTTCATCAATTGTATCGAGAACGTCTTCTAATAATTTAGAATTCAGTTCTTCGTTAAGTGGAGCTTCGCTCCGGCGTAAACCAGGAACATTCAGCTCGGCTGGGACTACTGCTTCCATCCCATATACTAATGAGAATGGAGTTTCTCCCGTTGCTCGTCTCGGGGTTGTTTGATATGCCCACAACACAGGTTGCAGCTAGTCATACCAACCACCTTTCCGAGCATTCAAACCTGTTTTAAGGTTGCTGAGAATGGTTTTATTGGAAGCTTCCGCTTGCCCATTTCCTTGAGGATACCTCGGCGTAGAATAGCTAAGTTTATCCCCCAAGTGGAACAAAAATCTTCAAAAGCATTTGAAATGAATTGTGGACCATTGTCCGTTACAATTTCGTAAGGAACTCCATGGCGACAAATAATGTGTTTCCACAAGAATGTCTTTACCACAAAATCTTGTATGTTTACGTAAGCTTTAGCTTCGATCCATTTGGAAAAATAGTCCGTTAGAACTAATAAGTATTGTACGCCTCGCGTTGAGCGATGCATCGGACCAACTATATCCATTGACCATCTCATGAAAGGGTATGGAGCGGATATAGATGATAAAAATTCAGATGGCTGGTGAATATGAGGAGCGTGCATCTGGCATTTTTTACATCGTTTGGCGTAATCGATGCAGTTAGAAATCATAGTTGGCCAGAAATATCCTAATCGTTTGATTTTGAAAGCCATTGCTCGTCCTGAAGAATGACTACCGCAAAGTCCTTCGTGAACCTCACTTGTACAATGATTCTTTAATTATACAATACTTAGCGCTGATGATTCTTAATTTGCGAGCTTACCATTTGTTCGATGGTAGTTCTCCATTAAGAATGAAATTTTTGATGGGTACCCTCCAGTCAGCCCCCCAATCATTAGCGGAAGTATTATCCTTGAGTATAAACTTCCTCGGTTCCGGCTCGGAAGGAATATCAGGATCATTTTCGATTGTCACCAGAACTTCTTCATTATTTGCGGTATCCGAAAGTGTCTGTTCAGCTCGAGATGGTTCTTTAATGGGAACCTCCTGATTTTTTAGTTTTCTTCTCGGGTTTCTTTTAGGAAGTTCCGGCTGTGGAGTAAGTTCGTCATCTTGAGACTTCGCTCGTGATCTAGTGACAACAAACGAACTGTTCTTGCTGTCGGGATTTAATTCTGGAGTTTCGATATGTTCGTTTTCCAAAATATTATCACTTCCTGTTTCTTCATCTGAAATACTTCGTGAAGAAATGCATTCAACTGGAATCACTCGCTTGAGTTTGGGATCTGAGGTAGAAGCTAGGGCGGCTAAAGCGTTTGCCGAAATGTTCTCGCCTCGAGGTATTCGAACTAATTCGAATTTTTTGAATTTCTCAGCTAACTTTTTGACAGCCAAAAGGTAGGCTTCCATTCGAGGTGCCTTAGCTTCGTAATCTCCAATGAACTGGTTCACAACTAGCTGAGAATCACAGTAAGCTATTATTTTTTCTGCTCCAATTGCAAGTGAGAATCACAGTAAGCTATTATTTTTTCTGCTCCAATTGCAAGAGCAAGCCAAAGTCCTGCTAAGAGAGCTTCGTATTCCACCTCGTTGTTCGAGGCTGGGAACATTAATCGAAATGATTGTTCGAATATTTCTTTTGTCGGAGTTTCGAGCCTAATACCGATTCCGGATCCTTATTTAGAAGAAGAGCCATCTAGGTGTAATTTCCATGTAGAGTCTGTTTCAATAAAGGTTCCATCATCTAATGGCAGTTCAGTTAGAAAATCAGCCAGAACTTGTGCTTTTGCGCTAGTTCGACTTTTATATTCTATATCGTACTCACTAAGTTCGATAGCCCATTTTGCCAATCTACCGGACTGAATTGGTCCGTGAAGAATTGAGCGAAGCGGATGAGAAGTTAAAACTTCTATCGGATGAGATTGGAAATAGGGTCTGAGTTTCCTAGTAGATATGACCACTGCTAAAGCTAATTTTTCCATCATGGTATATCTCGTTTCCGGACTGGTAAGAGATTTACTTATGTAAAAAATTGGCTTTTGATCACCTCGATCCTCTCGAACTAGAACCCCACTTACAGAATGATTAGAAACGTAAATGCAAATATAAAGTTTCTCATCTGACTCTGGTTTTGAGAGAATCGGTGGTGTTATCAGATAAGTTTTGAGTTGATCGAAAGCTGCTTCGCATTGATCATCCCACCAAAATTTTTTGTTTCCCTTTAAAATTTGATAAAAAGGGAGACATTTATTGGTGGATTTCGAGATGAAACGATTCAACGCAGCACTTCTGCCCGTCAATCGCTGGACCTCTTTAATGTTTTTTGGTGAAGGCATTGTGAGGAAAGCGTTAATTTGATTAGGATTTGCTTCTATTCCTCTTTCCGTGACTATGTATCCTAGGAACTCTCCGGAAGTCACACCAAAAGAACATTTAGCTAGATTTAATTTCATTTGAAACATTCACTACAGGAAATGAAGGTATTAATAGCAGTCCAGTATAGCGTTTTTAATATTTTTGCTATAATTGAGTTTTGAGAAAATTTACATAGCGTTTTCAAAAACGTAAACGCTATGATAAGATAAGCGCGAAAATATTTCGTAGTGGCGCTTAATTTTTAGAACAGTGATAGCATATGTGACACTGAAAACGTTATTGTAAGATTAACCGGGAAACCAAAAAATTGATTACCTCCAAAATTTTACTTTTTATTTTTTGGATCAAAATACCTCCAAAATTTTATTAAGTAACAAAAGAAAAAAGAAAAAAAATTGAAGACGAGAAATAGATTCAAGATCTAAAACTTCTCTCTTTTCTCCTCTTTCTCTCTGAAACTAGATTGGGAACCATCACAACCAAAACCAATTTGTTTGTCTCTTCTTTCACTCTCGATCTCTCTCGATCCCTCTGAGTCTTAATTCCTCTCAGTCTCAACTCTGGATCTCGGTCGTCAATTTCATCGATCTACAAATCTCTCTTAATTGTTTCTACTTTCAATTTCAGTTAAGCTTCTCTACCTTGTAGTATATTTGGTCTCGATTTTGGCTCGAATCTCAAATTAGGAGTCTGATTTGATATGTTGCTCGCTTTCGTAGACTCGGATTCATGAATAGGGTTGAGTTTCAGTAGCTATATATGAGTTCATAATTCAATCTTGGTTTACCTTCATTAGCCACCTTCCCAATATAGTATAGACATGTATAGTCCCCTCGGGTCGAATATCAGAACATGTTAATATTGGCCCCCTTCCCCTGTAGAGAAATCGTCTTGGGAGTCCCCTTTTGACAAACTCTAACCCCATATCTCCCCGTTAAAAACAGAATAAAAATTGTATTTAATTTTAAATCGAAAATGCCGGAAGTTACAATATTACCCTAGCCAAAATACTAAAACTACACATTAAACCTGGGTTTTATCCACCCAACCAAACTGATTTTGGATCTAACCCGAAAACCCACGAACCCTAACTCCTCTCAACGAGCCAACTTCTCTCACGACCATTTTCTCTCTGTTTTCTGCGTTTTCGTTTTCTCTCCTCTTTCCACGACGTGGATTCTCATTCAATTCGTCTTCAATAGTTAAGAAATTCAAAAGAGACAACCGTTATCTCCACGATTTCTCGATTTCAACTTCATATATCTCTCGATTTCGTTGCCAATTCTCTCCCTTTAAATATCCGTTTTATCTTCGAGAAATCCTTGTTGTCGATTATGGCTGGGAGAAAGAGGAAGAGGGGAACGTATGCTCCGGATCGATGAAAAGAAGTAAGGGAAGAAGATGGAGGAGCAACGAGTTTGCAGCCATCTCCGACGGAGTTAAAGAAGCCAATTGAGGGAGGAGAAGGAGTTGAAGAAGAAGTTCCGATGTTAAGTCCGGTTGTCGAGGCAGATGAAGAAGAAAATGAGGAAGAAGAGTCTAGGAATGAGGAAGAAGAGAACGAAGAAGAAGAGAACAAAGAAGTTCAAGGGAATGGCGAAGACGGAGGAGAGACTAGTGGTAGTAGTACAACCTTGTTAGACTCCTCCTCTGATGAGAGTATCGAGGATGAGATAGCAGATGGAAATCGAGTGAAAAATGCGGCGGAGATGGTAAGTATTTGAATTGGGTAATGCTGGTATAATAGGGTAACATTATTTGGATATCTGGGTAAAACTGGTAGAACAGGGAAACACTAAGGTATCTTGGTAAAACTGGTAGAACAGGGAATACTATTGTGTGTGATATACATGTAGAATTGGGTAATACTGGTAATACAAGGGAATTACTATTATCAGTAATACTGGTAATACAAGGGTATAACTATGACTAGTTACACTAGTATTACCCAGATATATATAGTATGACTAGTTACACTAGTATTACCCAGATATATGTAGTATGACTAGTTACACTAGTATTACCCAGATATATGTAATATGACAAGTTACACTAGTATTACTACAAATGTAGTAGAACTAGTAAAACTAGTATTACTGACAGAGTTTTTGTATTGTTTTGGCAGGATACAATGAGGGAGAACGTGATCATATATTTCAAATGCGAAGGTCGCATGAATATCTTGATGATGAAGACATCAGGGGAGAACATAACTCTGTCATAGTATTGGTATAACTAGATAAAACTAGTCGGATTTTATTTGTAATGCTGGTACAACTAGGTATAATTATCAGTCTTTTGAGAAACTTATGAAGAAAGTATAACAATAATTAATTGTTGATTCCCCAAAATTAAATGTTTGAAATGACTGGAGAATATGCTACGTCCGTGGAGCCATTTGGGAGAAAATTTCTACTTTTTAATTTATTCCACACGGTCCTCTACTTATTTAGCATTGTTATTGGGCAAACAAAGACTAGAGAATATGATACGTCCATGAAGTCATCTTCCACATGAAATTGATAGTATCATGGTAGCTGGAGGTGAAGAAGAATATATCTTCTTCACTATATCTTTGTCATATGGTTGTGTTTAGATTTGTACAATTGGTAATACTAGGTAAAACTATGTTGGTTTTGTTTTTTGAATTACACTACTGGTATTACTAGGTAAAATTATGTGCACCGTCAAATTTACACATGTGCGAGTCAAATTTACACATGTGCGCTGTCAAATTAGCGAGAAAACCCAAAAAAATCGGAAAATTTCAAATTTGGGACACGTGGGCCCCATCTTATTCATGTGTGCGCCGTTTTTTTCCACCAGTGCGCAGCTTTTTTTAAACGTAGTTGTACCCAAGTTATCGGTTGTACCAATTTTCTACATAGTTGTACTTTTGGTGATTTTCAGTTTAACCAGTATTACATATTCTTAAAAATTGCTTATATAGTTGTACACTTAAGTAAACTTTATAAAAATAGAATTCTTAATGTTTTTTGTAATTATATGTTAAAAATATATAAAATTGTAAATTTTCCATCCTAAGTTGGTGTTTTTATAAAAAGTGAACTTAAAAGTATAAGGAATATGTTGTATGAAGTCTATTAAAACAATCCGACATGATAAATTTTTTTTTTCTCACTTAATTCATTTTAAATCATTTATAAGAGTTCATTATCACTTAATAGTCAGTGTAATATTTAGTGTTGAAAAAACATTCAAAATTCAAATTCCTTCATAAGTTATACCAGTTTTACAAGTATTACAAAATCTCATCATTAGTACCACTTGTTATACTAGTTTTACCCATTTTCCATAGAAAAAAACATAGTATTACATCAGGAAAGCTAGTGTTACATAGTTGTCCAACTCGAAACTGATTTACAAATCATACAGTGCAGATAAATCAAATATTATGATTGCCAAATAACAACCACGAACAAAACAAAACATAACCCCTACTCTCCACAGTTGCTCGGACAATTCTGGTGGAGTGATGACTTCCACATACAAAACATATCTACGGTTATTTTCACCTAAAACTATTTAGACACTGACATCCTCATCATCACAAATGTAAATCTCTTCCTCTGGTCCCAACACCACTGCATTGTACCTCATTTGCAATTTAACCCTACTTTTATCTAACCCTAGCTTCGTGCATATCCTACCTTCTAACATGGAGAGAGTTATCTTCTCCCCTGATGTCTTCATCATCAAGCTATACATGCGACTTTCGCATTTAAAATATATGATCACGTTCTCCCTCATTGTATCCTGCCAAAACAATACAAAAACTTTGCCAGTTATACTAGTTTTACTAGTTGTACTACAATTCTGGGTAATACTAGTAAAACTAGTAATACTACATATATCTGGGAAATACTAGTGTAAGTACTAGTGTGACTATTAATATAACATGTATATGGGTAATACTAGTGTAACTAGTCATACTACATACATCTGGGTAATACTAGTGTAACTAGTAATACTAGTGTAACTAGTAATACTAGTGTAACTAGTAATACTACATATATATTTTTCAATAGATTCAAGTTCAATTCTACCCAGTTGTACCAGTTGTACTTTCGCGACAAGAACTCAAATCGAATGGTTTCAGGTTCAAAACTATAATTCACTATGATTCGGTTGTTGTAATCCATTTCTTACCCATTTACAGACCTATTCGACCCATAAACTATGCATAAACTTCCAATGTGCATATCAAACAATTAGCTAAATCTAATTGGATTCAATCCCCTTCATTTCTAAATCCAAAACTTCAATTACAAGCTCAAAGCAGGTCGAGCAGCATACTTGTCCTTTCTATCTCGACCCAGCTCGCCGGAGGAGAGGATACTGCAACAATGGTGACTGCAAATCGAATCTGCAGCGAGGAGGAGGAGAGAAAGCTCTCGAGCTCGAGTTTTCGTCGTTTTTTTTTTCAGTTTTCGTTTTTTTTTTTTTTAATTTCAGCAAATAATTAATTATTCTGAAAATGATAGAAGGGTAAAATCGTCAACACACATTTAATTAATAGAGAAGGGGATATGTAGACAAGAAAGGGATAGAAGAGGTTTGATATTTACAAAAAGGGACTTATGAGACATTTTCTCTCCCCTGTATCGAGACTAGATTCAGAGACCTTGAGACACATTTATTTTATTCTTTTCGAAGGTCTCCTAGTAAACTAGTAAAGCTACAAACGTTGGGTCTCTAATCAGATTTGCTTCCTTGATGTGTGTTTCTTACATAGCTTGTCAATGGATGGATGGTGGAGGAGGGTTTTGCAACAGTACAATGCCATTTCAATACAGCTGCAACTGCCGTGAAGGTTACAACAATATTATGAACATAACTACATTTCCTTGCTTGAAACAATGTAAGAATAACAATTTTTATTTATTGTCAATTGAAGCAAACCAAAGACTTTAAATTGTTTTTTTTTTTTTGTGTTTGGTAGGTGCATTTGGAATGGACTGTTTGAATCTTGGGATTCCTTAGTCAAACGCATCATCGTTTTGTCCACCTGCTCTACCTGATAGCAGCAAGAATCAAGGTTTGACTCCTTAAAATGTCTGCCTTAATCTTGTTTGGTTAATATCTAAAGTATTAAAGAAATTGAGGTTTTTTAAAAAACGATTTTGTGTTTGAAGTTCATATTTTTTAAACATATCCCATGAGAGAACCAGTACTTAGTGTTCTTAGCTTTATTGCTATCTTGGAGTAGCTTATGTGATTCTATGTATTGAGGATTGATGCTTGGTTTGATGGTAATGGAAGGTCCGAGGTTTTTTGCAATTGCTAGAACAAAATGGAACACAAGAAAACAATTTTATCCTTTCAAGACACCAAATAATGAAAACTAGGATCTGCCGAGATCACTGGAGAGCTTTATAGTAGTAGTATTGCAATTGGTTCTTTTGATTAATGAGTTAGATTCAAGATTTGCCTTGCTACCTTCGTTTAGATACAAAGCTAAGACGAGTTGTCTATCTTTAAGAACTCCAAATATTCAAAATCACTGTAGTGACTCATACTTGACCACAAATGGATGCATGTTCGTTGATAGATACTTAACACTGTATATGTTTCTACCTTTTTCCACATGATTCTTGATTGTATTCAATTCTTTCCACAGAGAAATCATGGGGTTCTAGACACTAATGGAAGGATGTGGAACTAAGCTTTACACTCAAAGATCATGCAGCAGTTCTCACATTGGTAAGTCTTCTCAATAATTTTATTATTATTTCCCCTTTTGTGACCATGATGATGTACATTGAGATTGTATATGGGGATCATGGTACATGTAATGTGATAAATGTAAAAAGGAGGTAGACCCATCTTGATATTGTTGCAGTATTTGATTTGGTACGGTTGTGAGATGGAACTGACGGCATAATCTTTGTGTGGACGAAGCTCAAAGGAACAATGCACTTGTTGGAGCTCACAAAGTCACATGGTTCAACAAATCAAGAAACCTTCAAGCTGTTAAAAGATTACAATTTGTTGTCTCCGTTAATTTAATTCTTTTGATATACCATTTATTGATTTTGATATATACGTAAAAATTTCTTTGTAAAAGTCAAGTTTAGTTATATATCAATAAAGAAAAAAATACAACAAATTTTTATTTCTTACAAAAAATACAATTTAACTAAATACGTAAGTATAACTACAAATAAAACTTTTATTTTGTTCATAATTATTCTCATAGATTCATTTGTTAATTAGCTAATACATAATCAAATAATATTCTCAAAGGTTCAAACATTCATTTGTTAATTCTACTCATCAAATAATCAAATATGATAAAATTTAATAATTTTTCTTGCATTTTATTTTGATAATTGATAAATATTCAAAAAAATGTTTCAAAATTCAAAAATTTAGGGTTTAGTGTATGAAATGTATGATTTAGGTTTTTCGATTATATTTGTTTCAAATAGTAATAATATTAATTATAACAAATAATAACATAAATAATATTCATTTTTAAAAATAGTTTAGGGTTTAGGGTTTAGGGTTTAGGGTTTAGGGTTTAGAGTTTATAGCTAATATTAATGATATAAAGTATACTATTATAACATAAATGAATTCTATCATTTTGTTAATTATAACATCATTAATGTGTTTCAACTTTCAACAATATGATTTACACAATAAGAAAATTAGTGTACATGTATTATAAGGCAATCAGTAGTGTTACCTTCAAATTTTTAAAAACTTTGCAAAATATTTTTTTTAAATTGCGAAAAAATTATCTAATCTTGTAAATAACTCATTAACATATTAATTCGTCAATATATAATTTTTTTAAAATTATATAAATAGTAAAAACACATTTTTAAGCCTATAAACAAAATAAGCCAATCATATTGTTTCACTCGAATTGCTGATGTGGCGAGATCTCAGCCATTCATCTGATCTAATACATGATCAATTTACTCAACCCAATCAATAAGCAATACTCGGATACATGACGTGGCGACATCTCCTCCTTTCAAAGGATTTGCCGGCTGAATGTTTAAGAAAATCTCAGCCGTTCATCGCCCAACAAAGGCTTTGGCGAGATTCTCTTCAACCTTTCATCCATTACCTCGAAATCGACTGAAAGAATATTGCTAATTCTGAATTGGCTCCAAAGCATCCGATTCGTCTTGGTTTAGCGTTGAACTTCTCTGTGTTTTACTATGAGATTCTCAATTCTCCTGATCGTGCTTGTAATCTCGCTAAGCAGGTTTGGATCTAATCAGAGGGATGTTTTATATGGTTATGTATTTGATGGTTTTTGTGTGTGTTTGATGAGGTTTGTTTATGGATTTATTAGGCGTTTGATGAAGCTATTGCTGAATTGGATACTCTTGGTGAAGAGTCATACAAGGACAGTACTTTGATTATGCAGCTTCTTCGTGATAACCTCACTCTCTGGACCGCTGATATGCAGGTATTATACTTTGGCTGTATAAGTCATGTTTTGTTGCTTGATTACTGAAATGATGAGCTGATTAAGTTATTGTGAAAGACTAGATTTGGAAATGAAATGGTTTAGTTTACAATTTGATGCATTCTTCTGGTCTGATTCTGATTTTATTGTGATTGTCAAATGTTTAATCATGTTTTGTTGCTTGATTTGTGAAACCCTGAGCCTTTTTAAGCCATTGAGGAAGACTTCATTTGGAAATCAAACGGTTTAGTTTACATTTTGATGAATTCTTTTTGTCTGATTCAGAGGTTTGTGAATTGTGATTGTCAACTGTGTTAAATCCTGTTTTGTTGCTTGATCTCTGAAACATTTAACCTAATTAAGCCATTCAGAAAGACTAGATTTGGAAATCAAACGGTTAAGTTCACATTTTGATGCATTCTTTTGGTCTGATTTTGATATTAGTGATTGTCAAATGTGTTTAAACTTGCACAGGCCTGTTTTGTTGCTTGATTTGTGAAACCATGAGCCTTTTTAAGCCATTGAGGAAGACTACTTTTTGAAATCTAACGGTTTAGTTATACATTTTGATCCATTATTCTGGTCTGATTTTAGTGATTGTCAAATGTATTTAATCCTGTTTTGTTACTTGATTTCTGAAGCCATGAGCAGGATAAACCATTGAGGAAGACTATATTTGAAATTATTTAGTTTACATTTTGATGCGTTTCTCATTTCTTCTTTCTTCTGGTCTGATTATGATTCTGATGTTATTGTCAAATGTTTTTAATCAGGACGATCCTACTGATGACATCAAAGAAGCAGCACCAGCAGCACCAAAACCTGCTGACGAGCAACAATCCTAAGTCTTGCGGCGAATATGTTGTTTCAGTATCTAAAACCTCTCCATTAATATGTTTTTCTCTTGTAGGAGTTTCTGTGTTGGTTTCTGATTTCCTCTTATCCCGAAGCTCTCCGAGGCAGTCTAATTCTTGTCCTTGTTCGCTTTTCTTAATCGTGGATACAAAAATACGTATAAAAATACTCCTTTGTACAATACATCATTTGTATAACATGTATAATTTACCTAATAAATTAGGATTGATATAATATAATATTATGATTGATATAATATAATAAAAATATGATATTTTTAATTTGTCGATATATCCAAAAAAACCTAATAAATAATAAATTAAATATAATAAAAAATTAATAAACTAAAAATGTATATAATTTGTACAAATACTTTATATATACAATCTTGTATAAATACACAAATACTGTATAAATACATTCATGTATAAAATACATATTGTCTACGTATTACAAAAAAAATATATATATATATATATATAATAAATATTAACAGCAATTATTAATCGCTATTATCTATTTATATATTGCATACCAAAAAACGCTATGTTATCTAATATCTTAATAGCACTTACAAAAACCGCTACGTAAAGTGTCAGACCTACTATAACGGGCGCAGACATAGCGCTTTCTACGCCGCTATGGTATCTTTAGATAGCGGTTTTCAGATGCTACGAATACCCTTATTTCCTGTAATGATTGTTCAAGATGAGTGATGTGCTCGGATTTCTTAAGAGATTTTATGAGCATATCATCGATATAGACTTCCATTGTTTGGCCCAAATGTTTTGCGAACATTTTGTTAACTAAACGCTGGTATGTTGCCTGTGGATGTCGGATTCACACACTCAAGTATTTTTATTAGTAGGAAAGATTATTCTTGAGGGACAAAAAGTAAGAACGTAAAAGGCTTATGAATACAAAAATTGCTATCGTATTTCTTGCTCCATATTTATACATAGAGAAACGACATTAAAATGAGTAATTAAGTACAATTATTCCTTCTTAAATGTGTCCGTTTTGATTCCTTGACTTTAATGCTCAACGTTTGAATTTGAGTTGACTCTGATCTTCATGGGCCTCGCCTTTTTGGCCCAAGTGTCCTTGAACCGACTTACCCGTGTCTTCTACACCGAACTCATGTCACAGCGCAGTCACTTCGGATTCTCGAAGTGATGACAACCACTTCAACCGTTACTTCGGCTCATGGGTCCAATGGGCTTTATCCTTTATGGGCCATTATCTTGACTACGTGGCAATCTTTGGTTGGTCTCGGACTTCTGGTGCGGGATCCGACACCAACAATTAGCCCCCCAAGTTCTTCGAAGTGCCATTCCAATTCGGAGGACTTTAAATGCTTGAATGACCAAAGATTGCGCTCGAGAATCTTTCTGATTTCCCGCCGAAAATCTCATCACTCCTTTAATTTCGGCACTAGCCATTTTTATCCGAGTGACATCTGTCATCATTATGACCGTATATTAATTATTTACTATTAAAACGGGAAAAACCTTCCCACTTCCCACACAACTTTCGAGGCGGTTTCATCATTTAGTTTGTGTAAGGTAACTTCTTTTCACCATCTTTTTCTTCTTTTACTTTTGTGCTTTAATCAAAACTTCTCTCTACTTCTCTTCGCCGAAACTTTCTTCGCCGAACCTTGAATTTTTCATTTCCCTCCGATGACTTCTGATTCTGAGAGACCTGAATCTCCGTCTTACGATGAGAGGCGTTCTAGTAATGACGAATGCACTCGTCCTAACGATATTGCCGGTCCTCATTACAAATCCACCTATACTCTTCAATCCCTTGAGCGATTAAAGGGGCTTTGTCAAATTCCTCCTGGAATCATAGCGGAGGCACAAATAGCCGATCCTACGGAATCCCCGGAGAACCACCGTGACGGGTATTTCTGCGTTTACGAAATTTACTTCAAGGGCTGCGGATTGACCTTCCCCATTCCCGAAGCCCTAATTCGATTCTTGGCGGCTCTTGAGATTGCCTTACCTCAACTAACCCCCAATCTCCTCCGATCCATCCTCGGGATTATAACCGTTGCGGCAGAGGCTGGCTACATCATTGGAGTCCCCGAGCTGAATGAACTTCTAAGTGTGAGAAGTTTGTCAAAGAAAACGGGATACTTCTCGGCATACCCAAATGCAAATAGAAACGTCATCTCGCACCTCCCGAACAAGGACGAGAACTGGCACCATCCTTGGTTCCTGATTAAGAAAACTCCTGCTTCGACTGGAAATCTTTCCGATGTACTCCCATCGAAGTGGTCTACGAAGCCTGGTAGAGACTAGGTCGTATATTCCTTTCCTGTTCATTTTATTTTTTTACTGACCAAATTCGTTGTTTCACTTCACAGCTCTCATCGCTTCAACTCTCCCGACTGAAGAATTTATCAAGTTTTTCAAAACAATCCTCGAAGGGGAAACCCTTTCGAATTCTTTCACACTTGATCGGTTTGTCGAGGCCAACCGAAAACTCAGGATGAGTCCTCCCAATCTACTTCATCGTCTTCCGCCTCCTCCCTCAACTCAGGGAATGTCAGCTCGGGCCCTTACTGCCCAGCGTAAGAAACTCTCCAAGCCGATAGCAGAGGCTTGTGATGAAAACAAGGCGTTCCTTGCAGCCGCCATTGACAAAAAAGATTACAGCAGGACCCTGCTGGTTGATGATAACAGCTCCGAGGGCGCCAGATCCGTTGCTGCTTATAGGCTAACACCTCGTCATGAACGTCATGACAAACGTTCTCCTCGGAGAGAGCGGTCTCCTCGTCGTGATTCTCCTCGTCCTCCCCGAGACGATTTCAGCAGAGAACCACTTAAGAATTTGGTTCGTAGGAAGAGGGACAAGTCGTCCCGTAGTGACTCGCCTCCGCGAAGGGAGAAATCAAGGGCCCGGACTGACCGTTCACCTCGATCATCCCCTCCTACTGAACCAATGGGTCCTCCCCGACCTGTTGACATGTCTTCTTCTGCCCAGCCCGAGAGCGAAAAGACTGTTCGGAGTGCATCCCCTAAAAAGGGAGATTCTGAATCTCAAGATGCTTCCTCGAGGTTAAAGCCTGCTCTTGTCCCTCAAGTCAAATCGCTTTCAGGTTTGGTAACTTACACATACTTAAACGTTTTTGTCTCTATTAAGATTCCAATTTTTACAACTCTTCCTTCTTCGCAGCTATGGAGAAAGAAGGCAGCGTCTTCCGATGCTTCAAGACCCGATCGGGTTCGATCTTGCCAGACTTCAACAAGTGGCGCCCTGCGATTCGTGAACGCTATTTGCTTCACGCTCATCATTCATCTCGGGTTAGTTCCGTTTTTTTTTTGTTGTTTTTTTTATGTATTGCCATTCTTCAAACTGACTCGCCATCCCGGGTTTATATATAATGCCAGGCTCACAGCGAACTCAACGACATGATTGAACATTACGAAGGGTTGGTCATTGGATGGGAGAAGGAGATTGACATGTGGAAGAAGAAATTCTCAGCTCTTGAGGCTGAACTCAGTTCTTCTGCCGGCTCCAAGCACGATCTGGAGGACAAGGTTGACAGTTTAACATCCGAGCTTGCACAGATAAAGGGGGAGCTGCAAGACCAGTATGACCGGAATTACAAACTACAGGATGAACTTTCTGGTGTTCAGGGTAACTCCATGAATCCGAATCAACCGCCGATACCCTAAACAACCAACTTATCGAGCTTAACGCGAAGTACAAGGCGTTAGCCAAGTTGCGTGAATCCGAGTTGGCAAGGTCAGCATCGAAAGCCAGAAAAGATGTTAAGGGACGCGGGATGGAGTTGATCCAGGGGGCCATCCGCTTCATTACAAACCGAGAAGGCTAGGTCAGATCTGGAATCAGACGTCAAGGAGCACGAGAGCAATTTGATTCTGTTGGACCAAATCCATGATGCAGATTTCTCCGAGGTGCAAGAGAGGGCTGAACTGTCGACCAATCTTTCTGAAAAGCGGAGTCGTTTGGCAGCTCTTCCCGCTTCGACTTTCAACCCGCAGGACTTTGAGGAATTCTTCACAGAATCTCCTCCTATAAGTGAATCGGGTCTAGATTGGGCAGGTAACTTTTGGCTCTTGATACTCATTACCTTTTCTTACCTTGTACCTTTGATTGACTGGAATTATTTTTTCTAGGCTCAAGTGAGACGGAAGACGTTGTCCCACCCGAAGTTCCTGCGGTGCCGGAGGTCACTCCGGAGGATGGTTGTACCGCGGAGGGTGGTCAGGGAGCTTCATCTGATCAAGCGCCAATTAAGGAGGCGAGTGAAACTTTGACAGCTGAGCCGGAGTCCGAAGTGGAGGTCGATCCGTAGTGGCTGTGTCCACTTTAAACTGGGGATTGTCCCATTTAGTTTAAACTTAATTTCGAACTTATTTTTTGCCTGAGGAGGCTCTAATATTTCTTTTGAACAAGATATTTGCCTGAGGAGGCTTTTAAACCTTTCTAGGTTATGACCCAAGGGGGTTTGGTTAAAATTATGTGCGGGTTTGCAAAGTCCGCTTTTAACCCTTTGTGGCCTTGTGGTTATGCTTTCGAGATTTTTAGGCTGATCAGACCTTTCTCTTTAGAATGCGAGAACTGAGCTCGGCTTAAAGCGAGTTCCCCACTTCGGGTTTAATCAACTCGATAAATTTATTGGGCTTGGGCCTTAGAAACTTTTGTAGTTAATGCGACGGTTGCTCTTTCCCTTCTTATTTCTTAAAAGTAGGAAAAACGGCTCGTCTTTAATGCAAAAGCTACCTTTTCTTTATTTCCAAAAATGGTTTAAACCACTCGGGCACACTACCATTATTGGTTTTATGGTTCCAAGACAAACCCTAAACCATTATAAATAAAGGCTTACCTACCTCTAAGCTTTCTTTAGATACGATTTTAGAATCTTACTTGAGAAATATTACGAGAATGGAAAACGAAAAAGTAGCCCCCATTGATCCCGGCAGCCCACTCTTCTTGTCCGGCGACGGCTTTGAACCGGCCGGCGTTCTTTTCCCTCACACCGTCTTTCACTTTCCTTCGAAGGAGAAGAAAGAGGCTTGCGACTTTATTGACAAGGTTTATATCTGTCTTCTTTGATTAAAAACTTTTTGTTTCATCTTATTAATTCATCTTTATGCTAGG